AGTGATTAGTGAGGTAATTAAAGAGTCTTCTTCTTCACTTACCTTACCCATGGGCTTATTCAGTCCTTAACTGTAATTTGTTGGAAGTTTTTATGTTGTTTTCTTGTGTAATTATTTAGTATGCTATTTTAGTTAAAATAATGATAAAAAGTAATGATAGTAATAATTTAATTAACTTATGATATGTTAATATTTACCAGTATCCATTTGAAGTTTCTGTGTTATATGTGGCTTGTTGAGGTATAGTTATGTAACTCGCATAAATTCTATGTAAAAGCTATTCATTTGTCTTCTCAATATCATTCAATAAATGATATTTCTTTCAGTCTTTGTTTTAGCTGATCTAATTAAATAATTCTTAGAATAAATTAGCTTGCAGGATAACTGTTAGAATAAATTGTTCAATATAATGATAACATGGTAAACTTAAAACATTTTCTGTAAATGTATGTGTATGTTTGTAATACATATATACACGTTTTGATTTTTTATCATGACGATAATTAACATATGAAATACAGCAAAACAAAAACTGACACATGACTGTATCTTACCATGAACTGGGATTTTATTTTCTACAAAATACATGTTTTTGCATATATTAACATCAATAGTTATACATTTATCAGAATATTACACTTTACATAATTACATGATTTAACACCAACTTTATTATAACTAGAAAATTAGTATATTAATACTTAATACTTATTTTTCCCAAAAAATAAAAAGTCTTGATGTACACAGCTTACCAATAAGTATTTAGAATATTTTTTTTATATTAAATAAACAAACATGAAGCAAAGAGTAGAAGATTACCATTAGTAGTTAGAAGATTTGTCCTTTGCAGTATTTAAGGCAGGAACACAGTTATATATCCTATTCATAAGATATGTAATCTTGCTTGTGTGATTGCACCTCCACACTGTGTGTTAACTTGGATGAGAGTGTCCCTAGATTTTGGAATCCTTGCACAGAGAACAATCAAGAATGGACCATACATTCCCAATAAATTTCATATTTGGTGGTTGGTCTGGCTATAGGATAATATTAGTGTCCTGACCTTTAAGCCATTGACTTGCAATTCAGGCTTTATGAGCAGGAGCCCCATCTTGCATGAAAACACTGTCTTATCTTGACATAGACAGGTAGAAGGTATTGGTCAAGAACTGTGATGTATTAAGCAACAGTAGTTATCTCTTTGTAAGCCATCAGTTGTGATCATCCAACTGCCCAAATGACACTTTACATGAAAAACAAAAATATTGTCATATTTTACCATGGCTTGCAGACAGTTTAACAAAATTTTTTGGAAATATATTTGCTAAACTCAGATGTATCTACCACAGAATAATGAAAATTCTGACTCATAAAAGAATGTTAATGTTCCAAAGGGCAGGATTTTCTGAGAGTACATGTCATGCCTACTGCTGTTGACAATATATTATTGCCTGAAGTAAGGAATGACTTCTGACAAGAAAATCTGTTGTTATAATCTATGGTATAGAAATAGCTACTGATGGTATTGGGGAATATTTGCATCTGCTCTATAACAGTAGATACCATTTGAAATGAGTTATTCTGTTCACAGAATGAAGAGTCTATTCTGTAACTTGATGCACCATTGTTTTCTGATGCAATTAGAACTGCATTTTCATCTTATTCACTGTGGACAGTGGTACTGCAAGTGACTTGGTGACTTCTCCCATTGTCCAACTAAGCAACCTCATGAGAATATGGTTAATTTCATAGGTTTCTGTCATTTATGGTATGGCTGGTATGACTTTAATAGCTTTCCATTTTTGTTTTCTATGACCTAAAAATAAGGTATTAAAATAATGATCATGTTGATTAGGACCAAAATAAAATTGCCTTAACTCAGTCTTCATTTGTTTTCAAACATATACCAGCATATTGTATAGTCTATGTATGCAATTTTGTGTGTTTTACATATAGAATATCCACAGTTTATTATTGACTGTAGTGGAAGTATGTATTTTGTATATTAAAGTATACTAGAGTTTTAGTACAATGAATTGCAAAGAAAATTGTAAATGTATTAAACTAAGTATGGTCACAAAAATGGCAGCAGTTTGTTGTCTCATTGAATATATTAAATATGCTTGCTGATTTTGATTTTAAAGTGTGCATTGTAAATTTTCGTAATGTTTTCAATCATTAGAATTTATGTGAAGTTTTAAATTGGTCAGTTTTTGAATGATACTTCTTCAGTCTAAACATGCAGCAACAAAACTTAACTAGTTTCACTATGATTCTGAGTTTCTTGTGTCTTTCTTCTTCATATTTGTTGTCATACTGTTTACATGTTCAGTGTTAGTTTTATTTATGTGGTATATGCATCCTTGGAGTGATTTATTTACCTACAATTTGTCAGTGCATCAAGAAAGATTATTGGATATTATAAGTTCTGTGTGGTGTAGTTCATGAGTGAATCTTGAAAAACTAATGAAAGATCATAAAACTAATTTTAATAGACCATTGATGATAGATTATAAATTTCATACTTATGTTTGTGGAGGAAAGGCATTTGTATAGATATTACTTGCATTATAACCTCATCACATTTTGTCTCTGCAGAGAAGCATACTGTTTTTTTGTTATATCTTCTTCCAAACACTTTTCAATCGACCACCATTCTTTCATTTCTCAGCTGATTGACTTGAAACTTGGTAAGGTTGTACCTTTGTCCAATATACCCAGACTTGTTTTAAAATTTTTTGGTTTAGGCCTTTTTAAGGATTTTAGGGGTCAAAGGTAAAACAACCAAAAAATGTGTATTTTGGGCTTCTGTGAAGTCATATTTTCAACAATCAAGAATAAAATTGGCATAAGTATAAATTTTCATGTGCCCAACACATGGCATACAAAAATATTGGATTTACCCATTTTGAATCTTTTTAGGGAGGTCAGAGATCACAAAAAAGCATAATTTTGCAGTTTTTGGTCAATTACTTGGCTGTATTTTGATCAAGGTACATGGGATTTGGTACAAAGAAAGTTTTCTACTGGTCCCACACATGGACAAACAAAACTGGTGGACTTACCTGTTTTTAGTAATTGTAACATAATTTTAGGGTTTTTTGAAATTTACTCTCTTGCATTTTGGCCAACTTACAAAGAAACTTTTTTTTACAGGTCCTAAACAGAGATATAGAAAGTTTTGGAATTTTTGTCTTTTCTGCAATTTTTCATGAGGAGAGCACAGTTTGGGATTTGTGTGAACTATTCATGTATATGTCAACCAACTTGCATGGGATTTGGTACAAAGTTTTAGATTTTTGTGTTTCTCATGATTTTTATCAAAATTGGCCATGCTAGGATTGTGTGGCAGAGACATGTTGCATTCACCTGCAACTGTTGGAAGTAAAATTTTTTCACTTATTAGTTTGTGTGTTTGAAAAAGGCCATTATCAAACCAAAAATGTATGTCACTAAATACATCTCTCAACCTTCTAAGTTTACACACAAACATAACTCTCTGAATCCATGATTTATTGAACAGAAAATATTAAATTTATTTTTCAATTTATTTCTTGATATACAAGTATATTGTTGTTTGTATTTGACATGTGACTAGCTCCAGGACAGCAGTAAGTACTTTCACATAGAAAAGTTAAAAGCATTTTGTATTAACTGTTAGACCTACCCAGTTGTCTCACTTCTGCATCATTGTTATATGTAGGTTAATTGGGAAAGGTTTTTTGGTGGACAGCTCCTGCCTTGTGTTGGTTAATGATAATGTTTTTGGTTTTATGCTGAGTCCTTTAGGTTTGGAGAGTTGTTTTCTTATTGCTTTTATAGTACTGTTGAGTGTGGTTCTGGTGGAGGTCTTCTTAGTTTGTTGGAGTTTTCTTGGTTGATTTAGGGATGTCTTAATTATTTTTTTTTCTGTTTTCAGTAAATGGTTCACCATGGAGCTCAAAATTTTGTCACCAACAAACATAAGACAGAACCTGCTCACAAAAAACACTTTCTCTAAATATTAAACACACTGTAACAAGAATCTTGATTAATTGGCTATTAGACACTTAAAATGTAAAGAACTTAATAGAATTTTAGTACTTATTATTTTGTAAATTTTGACCTGTAGGTTTCAGTTTACCACAATTACAAGAATGACTGATGGTTGGGTAGTATTAATGTTAATATGAAATTGCTTTTTGTAATGTGTTTTCTGTTAGTTTACATATATAAATATATTTTTGGTCTGTAATAAACTTTCAAAAATTCATTTGTTATATTTAAAAAAAAACTCTGTTATTATTTTCACTTGTAAGTTAAAAATATAAACAGTTAAAAGGAGATTAACAAAAAAAATGTTTATAAGAATTAAGATAGTATTCATAATCCTTTTTGCAAGATTGAACATCTTAAGAATATGCCACTTTGTGTATACAGAAAAATTATATTTATATGTAGTTATCTTTGGAATCCTAATCCTCCTCACTTAAATTATGTTCAGATCACAAGACTGCTATGTACTAAAGCTTTAATAACTGTCTTTCTGATTTTAATCCTTTAAAGTAAAGTCAGAATAACTTACATTGGATGTGTGATTCTTTGAATGTGCAGCGTGGTTGTTTGATTGTAAAGATATTATGGAAGTTAGAACCATCAGAGCTTACATTTTTTGTGTGCTTAAACATAAAACATAACAATTTGTGTTGTGTAAGCATACATTGGTTGTCTGTTAAGACATTAAACTCAATCCCATTGTTATTCCATCATTTTTGTTTATACATTGTATTATTAAACATGAAAATTGATTCTTTAGTTTCAATGTCTATCAACTTCTTAAGCACATGTTTAAGCATACTATTAATTATGTGAGTGTTTTTGAGGATGGGTCAGTGAAGATGATAATCAGAAGAAACCATAATAGTTAAAAGACTGTCATGAACTATGCTTTGTTTAGCATTGTAGGTATTTGTTTTTGATATTTTCACTGAAATTAGTGCTACAGAATAGGAAAAAACTTACATATTAAAGAGATTATTGTACTCTCTTCTAAACTTGGACAATTTTCAGTTGGCAAATGAGCATTTTTGTAACTCACTACATTAGTTATCATTTAAATTTTGTTACTGTATAAAAATACCAAACCCTTCTTAACTTGAACTGTCATGTATTTTATACAGAAAGTCCTCATGAAGGAAAAGTCTGAATGGATTTCCCATACTACATTTCAAGCTGGGTAATCTGACCCTCTTCATTTAATTTAATTTATTTGAACAATCTTTTTAAAATTATAAACAATTTCAAATTTTACTTGCAAGTATAACATATCATAGAAGTTCTGAGAAAACTACAGTTTTATTTGTTTTTAGGCTGATTTCACTGTAATAATGAAATGATAAATAAGATATATCTTTTGTTACCAAATGTAATATGTATATCAGAAGTATCTGGTACTATACACATGTTAACCTACCACTAGTATAATTAAAAGTATAACCATTTTTAAAAAATTTTAAAAACCAGGAATGCTCATATCCAAGAAAGAAATTATCTTCTTTGTATATGTATATGTTTCTTTTTTGGGGGTGAGTTATTTTATTTAAACCACTTCAGCCAAATTTTACCAGTTTTCTGTAGAATCATATTCATTAAGTAATGGATGTTCCAAGTTTTTTATGGTTCAATTTCTGAAACCATTTCATTATCATGCACCTTTCTCAGCTTTTGCAGTTATATGTATTACCAAATTTTCATTTCAAGCTCTTTCATAGCATTTAAGATATTACTATCAAAGAAAAAAATATTGGGTATTTATATGGATGGCTGATGTTAGTTTTGCTTTAAAACCTTTTAATATTCCCCATGATATGTCATTTCCTTCTTGTTTAAAATTTTTAATACTTATCTTTGAAATTTCATTATTTTTTAAAGAAACTTTTAGGGTAGTTAACATTTTAAATAGGATGTTCTGTTGATTTACAAATTATGGAAACTTTGTACATAATCATCTTTTATTTCTGTGTAATGTGATTGTAATTCTTTTATTTGACTTTTATTGTAAGCATTTCCTGTGATATTTTTTATTCCTATTGAAAATATATTTCTGTTGAAATGTTGCTATTTTTAATGTATTAATAAAAGAACATTTCAATTTTAGTGTTATTGTCTTTTTTTCCCATTTGTATTTGTGTTATTGCATATACAGAGGTTGATTACATTATATTAAAACGATTTTGGAGTCTCACCATGTCATTACAGTCTATTTATTGCTAGGTCCAGTCATGCTCTATCTGACAACGATAGTCCTGTAGTATAGTTTCCATTGCAAAGGGCTCCATCATAAGGTTGTAATGCCAAAAGTATATAACTCCTCCCCACTGGTTTCCACAATCCACATAGTGTACAAGGATGATGGTTTCCTAGCAGCCAATTAAATAGGCAAATCTCACAAAACTCCACAGGCACTGCTGGCATTCACTTGATTGATGTGTCTTCATATGGAATCACATTAATACTTGTTTCATTTTCCATAGTTGCTTGAGGTATGCAATGATTGAAAGAAGAAGTACAAATGGAAGCATTATCTTGAAGAACCTACATCTTCTTGGCCTCATTGGCAGATGGAGATTCTTCTTGAATATTGTGTACTGTTGCCTGGATTATGTTCAGCTTTCCAGACTGACATTTGTGTTTTTGGATTCTCATCTGTTACAAGACACCACACTTTGCTTACCACAGCTGGAGTATGATATGTTGCAGTTATCTTTTTGGATAGTCTTAGTTTCACTAAGTTGATCCATACTCCTTTGTTTTTTACAATGCCATTGAGTACAAGAGATATCCTCATATTTGAAATTCTGAATTTTTATTATCAAAGAATTTGTTTGTTTGTAATTAAGCACAAAGCTACACAATGGGCTATCTGTGCTCTGCCCACCGCGGGTACCGAAACCC